GGGGCCGGGCGGTGGGCAGAGGCTCCCGGGCAGCCCGGTGCCCGCGGCGGCCCCTCGGAGCGCCCGGCCCGGCGCAGCCCCGCGGAGCTCCCGGGGCACGGCGGGGCAGCCGGGAGTGGTTCTGCGCGGCGGATCGCCGCGGCTAAAGGGCAGAAGCTGCTTTTCGGCATTTCGGCCTAAACCCGCACCCACAGCCGCCGCCCCTGGGCACTGGGGAACAGCCCGCTGTGCGCACTCCGCTTGCGGTTTGGGTCAGGACGAGGGGGTTCCGGCCCTGGGACCGTGCTCCCCTCGAGGTGTTGCTGCAGAGCCCGCTCACACACAGAACAGCGGGCTCACACACAGAACAGCGGGCTCACACACAGAACAGCGGGCTCACACACGGAACAGCGGGCTCACACACAGAACAGCGGGCTCACACACGGAACAGCGGGCTCACACACAGAACAGCGGGCTCACACACGGAACAGCGGGCTCACACACGGAACATCCCGCTCGCGGTTAGCGCACTGCTCTCGCTGCCCTCGGGACCTTGCCATCTGCAAGCGCTTCAGGTAAAAGCCGAGGTGAGGGCAGGGTAAAGCTCTGGGGGCTGAGAGAAGGCGCTGACTCGGCAGGGAGGTCTGCACCGGGGCTGGGAGGACCAGTGCGCCCCATCAGCGGCTGTTCCTGCAGAACTCCTTGAGACATAGCAGGAGTCACCTCAAAAAACTAGCGAAAGAAAGGCACAGAGTGGGAGAAAGGCTCGGAGAGCACAAGCATCCCGGAGTGAGCAGGCGAGGTGAGGTAGGTCGATGCTGGCGGGCAGGGGCAGAGGCGATGCCACACAGGCACCGGCCCCAAACGTGCCTGGAGGAGCAGTGCTCTTCTGCGCCGACACCTTTGCAAGAGCTTTAAATACATATATTAAATTAAGTAGGGGTGTTGTCACTGAAGGGAAACCAGTGCCTTAGCCATGGGGCTTTCACCAAGGTAACCAAGTTCCCTTTTGGGCAAAGCAGAGTCTCGAAGTCTGCTTGACATCTTGAAGCTTAAATAACCGTAAGGCATTGTTACTCCCTGGCAGCAAAGTGCCTCGTTACGCCTGATTGAGCTAATTGCTTTGAAATAGGATATATTATCTATAATTATAGAGATCTTGGAGGAGACGGCCAGCCTTTTCTTTCATCTTTTCCAAGTGCATCATAATGTCGCGATCAAATTAATTTAGGCCACTTGAAATAGTGCCTTCCTTTCAGCCCGGCTCCTCCGACCCTCAAAGAGCCGGGCACGCCTCGGCGACCGAGGAGTTTGGCCATCCAAACAGCTCCTGGGGATCTCCCGAGGGCTAGTCCAGGTGCCTGAAGCCTTAAAAGTAGTTTGGTTTATGTTTAATCTGGACAGAAAGGAGTAGGGAGAAAGAGAGAGAGGAAAAGGAGAGGAAAAGAAAAGGAAAATAAAGAGGGGGGAAGACAAAAAGGAAAGAATGGAGGTGTTTTCTCATTTTGCCGACACTCGGAAAACAGCGACGAAAACAGGGAGGGCTTTGAGCACTTGAAGGGCTTTGAGGGCTTGTAAAGCCCGCAGGACATTTTTAGCACTTGCGACAGTTCTGGCTCTTTGCCCCCAGGGCTGAGTCTCGCAGAGATGAAGTAAAGCTGCAGAAGGACGGGCAGAGAACGCGCAGGGAGCGCAGAGGGAGCGCGCAGGGAGCGCGCAGGGAGCGCGCAGGCGGTGCCCGGCTCAGCAGAACTGCCCTGGAGCTGCTCGTCCCCAAAGCCGGCTCGTGTCCTGCGGGACCGTCTGGTCTCCTAAGAGCTTCTCTTCTCGGGAGAAATAAAATAGAAACAAGGGAAAGAACAACACCCCTCTCCTTTCTGAGTTCTGCCTTTAAGTCAAAGATAACGTTTACAAAAGGCAGATAATGCCCTGAACTGACTTAGCACTGCCTCCTGTCCTTTCTCCCCATCCCCCACGCACTCCTCCCAGCCCTTGTTGTATTCACACCGAAATAAAATGCTATGGGTAATGGCTTTGCCTAGCACATTCATTATATTGAAACGGGACTGTTTAGGATGCTAATTGCCCAATATTGTTATCTAGCACAACTGCCTTCAGGGAAAAGCCACGGTTCCAAATAAAAACACCGGACTGGAACAAGCACCAATAAAGTCACTCATTTCCCTCTGCCCTTTCACTTCGATTTTCCTTGCAGCCCAGGGCGGAAAGAGAGGCACCTAAAAGCAAACTAGAGTACCAACAAAACGAAACAGGTCCTAAAAAAGTTCCTAAAATCCAGTGGTGTTTTGGTCACCAAAAGTGCAGTAAGCAAGGGAGGAAGAGTTTGGAAACTAAAAATTTCCCGCTGAACACAGAAATCAATCTTGGGGGAGATTTCGTTTTGCAAATTTATTTTCCCAATTCCTAACTTAAAATTTGTAGATTCCATAAAGAAAGAAGGGAAAGAAAAAAACGAGCAAGAAACGAAAGAAACTTTACTGGCATCTCGTTTTCAGCCCAACAGATGAAAAGTCAGCATGTGAATTAGAATCAAGTCCTTGCTATGGTGATTGCTACAGTGATTGAAATACCAGCGAGTATGACAGAAATGTAAACACAAAGCGCTCATTGCTGGGAGATAAATAAAGAGCTAATTATCTCATTCTGTCAACTCTAAATGAAAGCAGGATAGCGCTCCCGGTATGGGACGCACACGCATCTCTTCAAATCTCAGCAACATCCCAATGTTCAAATCATTGTGCAAAAGAAAAGTGAGGAGGGGAAAAAAAGCCAGCAGCGCTAATTTTCATTTTCATGTTTCCTTCAAACAACGAGACTGAACTCAGCCCAGGGGCTGCCTCGAGGTCTAATAAACACATCACTTCTTCTTTTGCATGGTTAAGTTTGGAATCAGGGAAAAAATAATAGTAATTTAAAAACCCAAACAAAACAAGATCCTACCTGTAGGATCGGGTGTAGGGGACACCGTGACACTGTGAAACACGATGCATCGATATATGTGCGTGTTTTCTTAGTCGGGGGTGGAGTGGGGGGTGCACCTTCGTGCCGAGTACCGGACTTTGGGAAAATGTCGTGTGATTGGTAGAGCAAACTAATTTTGTCAGGCTGAATGTGCCGATGTCCCAGGGCTAAGGCGCCTTGCTCCCTTGATGCGGGTTAACGTCCTCAATAGTCCCCCTCCAGCTGAAGCCTTTGATCAGACCGCTGCTGGCGCCTAAAAACAACATCACTTGTCTGCCTATTAGAGGCACTGACTAATCGTGACAGATTGTTTATTCTCGCAATTAGCAATGCAGCCGCTTCTCCGAGCACCCCCACCCCCCCTCCCCGACGCGGCCCGACCTGGCACCCCAGCCCGATGGGGCGCGGGGGAGGCTGTGGGCAGTGCGGGCACCGGCACCGGCAGCGGCACCGGCACCAGCAGCGGTACCGGCGGGGCGCGGAGCCAGCCCGGGCTGGGCTGGGCGGTGGCACCGCTGCTCCCGCCTCGCAGGAGCGCTCAGCGGGGCGGCACGGAGCAGGAGGGCAGCTGGGTGCATCAGTGCGAGCTGTACGTCCGTGCAAAGTGCGTTCACCTTCACGTATAGGAATCTGCGGGAGTAACCCGCAAACCGCCTCCAGATCACTCCACGGATGAGAGGGATCATCCGTGAGCACAGCACATGCGGGAGCTGGGTGTGATGTACGGGCAGGACGCAGGAAACACCCCGCAAGGGCATATGCTCACGCGTGTGTGAGATAAAGTGTGCGTGGAGCTGCGCGCAGGACAATTCATTTCAATCAGATCCTGTTGCTTATCAGTTAATAAAATGTCTATTATATCAATTCATTTCATAATCTATATGCTCCTAATCTACCATCTTTATAGGGTCCAGTTAAAAGGAAAGGGAATTCGCTGTCCCTCCCCGTTTAGATAATTGCCCTTAAATGACTGCAAGAGGCTCTTGTGTTCCGAGTAGATTAGAGCCCTGCAGCTATCAATAAACTTTTCTCAGCGAGCGGCCAATCCCGTTATTAGAGAGCGGCTCTGTTTTACTGCACATCCGTCCTGGGCGCGGGGATAAGGGATCGTAAAACGAATTTACAAAACAAAATAGCCGGGACTTTTAAGGGCTCAGGGGTTTATGTGTTCCTTTTTACGTGAACGAACATTTCGTTATCTGCAGACACGCACACATCTATGCCATGAGAAGTAGCTCAATTTATGCGATGTGTATGCGGGTACGTATATATAAACACAGATCTCCAGTCACATCGAACACATCTCAGGGCCGGCGTTCATTTAAAAAGCAAACCAACCAAGCAACCAACCAAAAATAAACAAAAACAAAAAACCAAAAACCCACAAAACGACTGTGGAACGGGTAGGGTCTCCTTGCCTTTGAGAGGCCACACTCGGGACAGCCCGGCATTTGCCACTTTTGCAGAAGATCGGGCTCATGCTCGCTCCCTTGCGCTTTACGAACAGAAAGGCCAGCATTTTTTCCGACGTTAATACGTTTTTCCCCGAGTTTTGAACCTTCCCATCTCCACAGCACAGCGCTGCGCCGGCTACCCGGCCTTCTTCTCTCCCGCCTGAGATGAGACCGGGGCGTGGAGCGGGCCAGGGGATGCGGAGCGGAACCGGGGAATGCGGAGCAGGCCCGGGGGATGCGGAGCGGAACCGGGGAATGCGGAGCGGGCCCGGGGGATGCGGAGCGGAACCGAGGGCCGCGGGGCGGGGCGGGGCGGGGCGCGCGGGACGCTCCGACGGCGATCCCGGCCCCGCCCCCCCGCGCGCCGCCGGGGCCGCAGCCAATGGGGCGGTGCGGCCCCGCCCCCCGCGCGCCGGCTGGGCGGAGCCGCTCGCGCGCTGCTTTATGAGGCGGCGCCGCCGGCGCGGGACCGGAGCGCGCTGACGGCTGGCCGTGCCCCCCGCGCCTGTCGTGCCCCGGCCCCATGACCGGCGGCCCTGCTCGCTCCCGCCCGGCGCTGCGGTGGCGACGGCGGGCCGCCCCTGCATGGCCCCGGCTGTGGATATGACCGCCGCGCCCACCGGGGTCCGCAGCGACGAACTGCCCGCATCCGCCTTCAGCAGTCCCGCCGGCGGCGCGCTCCCCGTCGCGGCTGCGATGGGCGGGGAGGAGGAAAGCGACAAGCCCAAGGTCTCCCCGTCCCTTCTGCCGTTTAGCGTGGAGGCGCTTATGGCCGACCACAGGAAGCCGGGAGGCAGGGAAGGACCCGAGGGCGCCGGGCCCCCACCGGGCGCTGGGGCGGCCGCCCGCACCAGTCTCAGCCCTCGCCTGGGCACGCTGTCGGCGGAGGCGCCGCCTTCCCCGCTGCCCCTCGGCGGACACTTCTCCGTCGGGGGGCTGGTCAAGCTGCCCGAAGACACGCTCGTCAAGGCGGAAAGCCCCGAGAAGCAGGAGCGGAGTCCCTGGATGCAAACCCCACGGTTCTCGCCGCCTCCCCCGAGTAAGTAGTGGTCCGGGAGCAGGCGGGATGGGGGCTCTTCGGGGCGGCTCCGACCCTCCCGTGGACCGTGAGCAAAGTTGTGCGGGTGGCCGGGGCTTTCCTGTCGCTTTCGCCCTCCCTGCCTCTGGTGCTATATCTTTCTGCGCGGTTCGTACTTTTCTGGGACAGTTCGATCCTTCCAAAGTACTGAACGGATTCGAGAGTGTGTGGAGGATGGTTGCGAACGCACAGGAAGAGCGGCCGTGCCAGGGTGAGATCTTGTGCCAAATGTTAACCGGGGGGGAAAGAAAAAGCAACACGGCCAGCTTGTTAATTTAGCCTGGGGCTCGAACTAGCTACGCAAATTTTGACTCAGCACCACTGAGGCTTTTTCAGAAAGTGGCTCGAGTAATTCCATAAGGATCTGCACAGACCGGTTTCCTAGAAGCGGGAGCTTTGTGGGCTTCAGCCACACCGGCTGCTGTCTTAAATAGTGCATTTCCAAAGTCCGAAGAGCCACACAATCTGTGATGTTTTCCTGCTTTAATGCAGAGTGATCTAAATTAATAAAATAACAACGTGAGAGTCGAAATCAGAGAACCCTGTTAATTTCCAGTGGCTATGCTGAACCAGGGTCTGGACAGCATGGGCTGGCTGCCCTCGGCCTGGCCGTGCTCTCTTCCGGCCAGGGATCCTGTGGAAATGGGTGACCTTGGTCTGAGGCTCTCCAAGCGTTTGGGTCGCCCTTAGAAAACCTACAGAGCTGCTTTCTCTGGAACGTTTGTCCCTGGAGAACGGCAGGTTTGCCGGCAGGACTTGCGTAGCGTAAAGCAGCGATTTAATTTATTTAAATTGCAAAGTAAAAGTTGTTGTTGCTGAGTAAACCCGGGGCAGATGGATGTTGAAGACCCTTAGAAATCTTAAATAAGAGGAGAGGAGCGGACCACGGTGAAGAGTGGTAGATAGAGCATGAGTGTCAATTCAGACCTCATAATTAATTACATGCTTAATCCGGTTCCCAGGGGCCTAATGAAGAGGGTGTGAGACTGAGAAGCCAGCCCGTTTTGTTTGGTGTTTTTTCCTGTAATCCAATAAAAAGAACAGGACTTTTTCTTTCTGGAGGGTTATTCCCTTTATTATCTGCGTCTCCTCTACGTGAACCAGGGTAGCTGTGAAGGCAGGAGGTGCAGCGTTTGGGTGTGTGATTCTTGCCTGTTGCCAGGTTCTTAATGGAGTTGGAGCTTCCTGATATAAACCACGTCTCTCTTTTTTTTGGACGGGACATGACAATTTTATGTGTGTCCCAGGCAACACTGGTGGTTTTGGGGCAGCTTGCTTCAAGTGGGACTCTACTTCCCCCTTTTTCCACCCCACCTGTGGTAGGGTGGGGACTCTGTAGGCTGTGGGGGTTTGGGCATTGCTAACCAAGCTGTCTCTTCTTCCCCGGCTGCTCCCCGGCACAGGGCGGCTGAGCCCCCCCGCCTGCACCCTGCGCAAGCACAAGACAAACAGGAAGCCCCGGACGCCCTTCACCACGGCGCAGCTGCTGGCCCTCGAGAGGAAGTTTCGGCAGAAGCAGTACCTGTCCATCGCAGAGCGTGCAGAGTTCTCCAGCTCGCTCAGCCTCACTGAGACCCAGGTGAAGATCTGGTTCCAGAACCGTCGCGCCAAGGCCAAGAGGCTCCAGGAGGCCGAGCTGGAGAAGCTGAAGATGGCAGCCAAGCCCATGCTCCCGCCTGCTGCTTTCGGCATCTCCTTCCCACTGGGCGGCCCGGCCGTGGCCAGTGCTTCCCTGTACGGCGCCTCCAGCCCTTTTCAGCGGGCAGGGCTGCCCGTGGCTCCTGTGGGACTGTACACAGCACATGTGGGATACAGCATGTACCACCTCACATAGAGCCTGAGCCCAGCCCAGCCCTGCTGGCTGTCTGCTCCTGCTGGCTCCACACACATTCCCTCCCTGCTCCTCTGGCTCTTCTCTGTGGACTTCCCCATGGACCCTATGGCAGAGACTCCGCCAGTCTGGCTCTGCTTGACCTCTCTGCTTCCCCCTCTGATGCTGAGCCCCTATCTCAACGCTGTTCTTATGTCCTCAGCAGTCCTGGGGAGCTGGCAGAAACCCGAGGCATCACCCCAGATTTTTCCAGGCGCAGGGTGGTGATGGGCCAACTGTGTCCTGCTTCTCTGGGTCTAGCTGGCAGCCTGCAGAGAGCACCCTGCCATGGGGGAAGGAACTGTGGAAGAGATGGAAAAAGGGGACTGAAAGACGGGATGTTTTTCTTGCTTTCTGCCAGGCAAGGTCAAGAGGTAGAAGTGTAAAACAACCTTTCCCATTCCCATGTGACAGCGTTGTCTGTTACCTTCTTTGCTCCTCCACCAGCTCCTTTGGAAGGGGCTCTGTGTACTATGTAATATACTGTATATTTGAAATTTTATTATCATTTATATTATAGCTATATTTGTTAAATAAATTAATTTTAAGCTACTGTTCGATGCAATTTGTTTGCTTGCTCTTTGCCCTCTTGGGGGTGACTGAAGAAGAAACCAGATTTGTGAGTTGGGGGATGAGAGAGGGACTGGCTATAGCAGCTGTTTTCCCTCTTCTCCAGGAGTCTTCAGCCTTGAATGGTGGGACAGCAGCTGAGTTCTTAACTTTCTGTGTATCCTGCCCAGTCCTCGCAACTGTTTGAGGTTTCCTCCTTTTCCCCCCGCTGCTCCATGGCAGCAGTTCCCACCGCATCCCTGCCCCGAAGGTGCATGTGATCGCCGCTGCTTCCCCCAGCGGCGCCGGGATCTGCCTTATTTCCTTAGTCCTAGGAAAAAGTTGCTCCGGTCCCTCTGTCTCGGAGGATCCCGGCCGCAGCCCCCGCTGCGAAGACAGGGGACGGTTTGATATGCCCGACACCTTAGTGCCAAGCCTAGTGCGAGGTAAAGGGGCTTTCCCCAGAGCTCCATTTGCCTTCCCGTATTAGTCGGGGGAATGGAGCACCGGGATTTGGGGCGGTGGGGAGGAGAGGGGACTGTCGCGGTTCGGCTGCTGCTGGAGAAGGGGATGAAGGACGCTAATGGCGAGGCGGTGTCAGCACGGGAGCCGACGGGAAAGGGGATGGGGTGCGGGGCCGATGCGCTGGGCACGAGTGCGGGCCTGGTGGAACCCGCGGGACTGATGGTCGGGACCGCTCGGCGCCGTGTCTCCTGCCCACTCTTGGGCTTTCGAGCGCCCCGCCGCTCTTAGCGGCTGGTTCCGCTGGAAACCCGTCCCGGTCGGCCACGGCTCCGAGGAAACCGCTGGCGACGGCCGAGAACCCGTGGAGGAAACCGGCGGACTCGCAGCCCCGGCTCCGCGCCCGCCGATCCCGCCAGCACCGGCGCCGCCGCCTCGCCGCGTTCCCCGCCGGCTGTGCCCTGAGCCCTCTCAGTGCGCAGCTCCACCCGGTTTGGTTTGACGAATCCCTCGGGTAAGAGAGCGTTGGTTTCCCCCCCCTTTTTTTTTTCTCCTTGTTTTTTCTTTTCTTTTTGGTTTTTTTTTTTTGTTGTTGTTTGGTTTTTTTTTTTTTTTCGATTTCGTGCTTTATCTTTGTGCTCGAGGAATGGCAGCTGAGCAAATTTTGATTCTATTTTTTTTTTCTCTCTTTCTCCCCACCCCCCGCCCCGCTGCTTTCATTTCCAGCAATTTAAAACGTTAAGGTTGAAGCAAAGTTAGAAGGAAAATAATTGCTGTAATGAGGCTCGGCAATCTTCTGCAGGCACTGTGGCTCCAGCGAGACTGTAGCTGGGGGCGAGGCAGGACTTTTATCATCTCCTAAGTATCAATGATGCTTTCAATAACTCAGCGAAACAACATACCTGAACACAGTCACTTTCTCCAGAGCTCTCCGCTCTAATCCCCCTTCTCGTCTCTCTCTCCGCTCTGGCCGCCCAGTCATTTTTGAGCTGGGGTGACTTTGGGGCTTTTGTGGTTGGTTGTTTTCTTTTCTTGCATTTTTTCTGTAGTTTTTTTCCCCAACTCTTTTCTTTTCCGATCATTTCTTTTCTCTGTGCAAATGACAGTGTCTGTGATCCTGACCCCAGCGCCCAACGCCGCGCCGGAGCGGGAAAGCTCTGTGCCGACTTTTTCCCACGTTGTGTCTCTGGCAGAAAAAGGCTGGATATCTCCAGCTTATCTCTCTCTCTAACTTAGCCTCTGCGCGATTAGACCGCGGGTTTGGGGGAGATCTAATCGCGCAGAAGGCCGGGTTTATCCTGTAAAGATGCCCTTAAAATCCGAGAGAGATTTTAAACAGCGAGGACTGCCTTGAGCGGGCTCCCCGCGAGCACTGCTCCTGTTTGCCGGCACCTTTGGGCGCTACGGCGCGGGACTCTGGGCAAAGCGGGACCCTTTCATCTCTCCGCTTTGTCTCTGCTTTCTTTTTTTTTTTTCTTTTTTTTTTTCTTTTTTTTACATTATGTTAACTCGGGGTGGATATTCGAAGCGCAGGATTCCTATTGAACATGTCTTTGCTTTAAGTTTTCCCCCTGACCCTTGGGCTAAAGTCCTTGGTTGCTCAATTAAACCCAGATGAGAACAATTAATAACTAAGTAATGACAATAAGTTGGGAATCACACGGATGAACGCTCCATGTGAATAGGAAAAGCTCACACAAAAGAGCAAAAAGGATTTGTCGGCTCTTTTTAAGGGGGAATTGGCTTTTCTTTTTTCTTGCCTCTGGCTTACCAGCAAATAAAACTCACTTTTGTGTCTTTGTAGCCTTAAGGATCTCAGTGGGCAGTTGGAAGTGAGAATGGCTGTTTTCCTTTCAACTTGAGGGTGCTGGCGCCACGCAGCCCCAAGGATAGAGAGTAGCCAAAGCAAAGTTTCCTAATAACTCCCCTCTCCCCCTCCACCCCTCCCCAGTCACGCCGGTACCCCCCTCCCCTCCATGCATATCTCCACACGCACTCTTAGAGAGCCTCGGCAGACAGACGAGAGAAAGCAGAGGGGCCCCGAGAGCATCCACGTAGCACCACGGACTCACAGCCGAGGCTGACTCTGCAGTGGGAAAGCGATAGCGCCTTGGTGCCACACTTTCCACGGAGCGTAGGAAATACAGCTCACAGTAGCCAGAGCACGGAGGGGAAGCAAACACGCGCAGAAACACATAGAAAATAAAAGAGAAGCCATTTTCCCACTCTTTTTCCCACAAAGGAGGGGAACGGCTCCGTTACCCGTACACAGGGGCAGCCCCCGGGCGCATCCTCCCGGCACCGGCTCCCTGCGAGCTCCAGAGCCCCGGCTGGGAACGCCGCAGGATCGCGCCCGGCTCCGGCCGCGGCAGAAGGACAGAGTGGCACACAGCGAGAGCTTAGTGCTTAAAAAACAAGGAAAGGCTCTTCTTCAGTTTTAGCTACAGAGAAGGTGGCTAGCGGGTAAACCTGCAGCGCAAACCGTTGGTTAAACCGTACATTTGTCATCTGCTCTGAATTTCTCTTGGCTTGGACCTTTCTTTTCAAATTCGCTCTTTCACTCGGAACAAGAATCGGTGCCTCACTGAATACTTCATCGAATGTTTTCCGTAGTGCTCAAGCGAAGTGGGAGCTTAAAAGCTTGCTTTCTAAAGTTAGGGCAGGCTAAATTCAGCAAGTGAGTTAGGCACAGCAGCCTCCTGCTGCTCAGGATTGTGCTTGAGAACAGAACCTTAAGAAATCAGAGGCAAAACAGGGAAGCTGCCTAACTTACCCATTGTAAAGGCCAGGGGAAGGGGAGGGGGCCGAGTGCTTCTCAGTAGTGCTTATAAGCTTAAATCCAGGCTCATCATTTTGTGTGAATCTCCTGAGTCACATCAGACCTTTTTCCTAAAAATCTGGGAAGTGAAGGGTTTGTTGAACAAACTGTCTGGACAACTTCGGCAGGAAGTGGGATGCTTGGCACTAACTCCTTGGTACTGCCTGGATTTAGGTAAACAGCTGAACTCAGGTATTCTGTATTCAAAGTGAAAATACCAATCACCAGTTTATTAGAGACTCAGAGGTAATTGATCTTTATCTCTTCTAATGATACATTTGATTTTATATTAGACATGGAGGTGGCCAGAGAGAAGAAGAAAAAGCAGCTGCATAAGCGATCTTGAGATCAGGACACTCAGAGCAGTCATGGGGCTGTCCAAATTAAATCCAGCAGAGTGGTGACTGGTGAGTAAGTCTCCCACTGCTTGGAATATAATATACTGTGCCCAGTGAGCTCCTGGATGCAATGAGGTAGTTCACTTACTCTCTAATTCTTCACAAAAAGCAGGCGGATGTGACTTCTGTACCGAACTGTAAGGGAGTCTGTGGCAGAAAGAGACACCTTCTTCCTGATTTTCATAGTTCTGCCCTCCCCCCGCCCCCCATACAGCTACATCTATTTATATCCATAGCATCTATATCTTCAATATCTATATATAAATTTATATCTATATAATCTGTACATATGTATCCATAGTAGAATATAGATGTATTCTAACCCAAGGAGTATGTGGACCTCTGAAATGTTCTTTTATTAGCTTTTAACACTCTCCACACCTTATGTGAAGCACAGTGGTGTCTGTCCCTGGCCTGAGCAATCTGTTCCACAGCAGGGAGCCTAAAATTGAGGCATTGCGATAATGGGCATTGCAACACAGCTCCCTGGGACTGGCCCGAGGCCCCTTCTGCAACACGGACCCATTGTCTGTCCAGCTCTGTGGCAGGAGAAGCTGGAGGCAGAACCAGAAGCAACAGCTCTGACTCATTTAACTACGAGCTGTAAATTTTAACATGCAGCACAGAGAGATGTGGCAGGGATTTGCTTACAGCAGTAAACCGATCGATATTAACTCTGCTCCATTGTACTTCATCTCAGAGATCTTTTATCCCTCCAGGCTGGATCCGGTTCCCACCCTGCAGTGATTAAAGGGAAAGCGAGGAGGCAGCTACCTGGATCCAGTCCGCCTCGTGCGACCAGGAATGTGCAATAAATCCCCCGTGCAAAGCTCTTTTCATCTGGGGAAGTGGCGGAGCTGAGGATCGCCCTGCGCACGGAGCCAAACTCCTCCCGGGACCGGAGAGCCTGGGGCCGGCTCACCCGTGCGCTGCTGCCCGGGGTGCGACAGAGTCCCCTCGGCCTCAGCCGGTCCTCGCTGCGCTGTGAACAACTCTGCATTTCTTCTGGCTTGGAAGAGAAACAAATCTCTTGCGTGTGTCATACAGCCATCAAAGCTACACACTTCAATAGCACAGGCCTTGCCAGTGAGCTGTGAGACAAACCTTGGGGAGAGAGTTTTGTAGGCATAATGTTTAAAATCTGAGATTGATTCGATGTCTATGGTCCATTCTCATAGAAGCTGGGGCAGACAACGGGGCAGTGGGGTCGCAGTGATGAGCGCTGGACAGACCTGAGGTTCAGCCAC